AGCGGGCCGGAACCCATCTTAGGTTGACATAAACAACTTCTCCTACACTAAGTTTAAATCTGAACTATGTTTCATAATTTTATATAATTACATACATTTACTACTAAACTACTAATAAACTACTACTTTCTACTAAATCAAATTTATTATTTTGTGTTTTGTTTTTATATGGCGAGCTGTTATATAGGCGAGTTGTTGTTTTATCTCGAAATGTTATATGGCAAGTTGTTATTATGGCGAAATGTTACTTAGGCGAGTTGTTATATGGCGAAATGTTTTATGGCGAAATGTTATATGGCGAAATGTTATATGGCGAAATGTTACTGAGCCAAATAAATCAATGAAAGAGGGATATATAAAAAATAGAAGTTTAAATAAGATCCGTAGAATAACTTTGAAGGTTAAAATCACCTACAATAAATTGTTCAATTAACTCAGAAACTGCTTTAATGGAATCTTAATCAAAACTTTCTGAGAGAGATCATTATTGGTATCAGGTGTTCCTTCCTATAGGTATAGATCTAAATCACCTTAAACCTACACGAATGCAGTTAAGGCAAGGAGGTCTTTTAAATTTCTTTCTAAATTACTGCAGACACTGATACATGTAACTCAATGAGCTGACAGAGGGAAGTTCTCATTACAACAATGTCAGCAATAAACCATCCTGCACATTAACCATCCTGGATGCTGCAAAACAGGACAGCCAGAAAACAAGAAGATTGGAATATGATTATCTGCATTATACATGTATCAATAAATTTGTTTTATAAAAAATCTGGAAAAAAATAAAAAATAAATTGTTAAAAACCTATAATAATTTGTTCAACTCAAAGTTAACCATTTGACCTATGGTATGTAAACCAAACCAACCATGTCTATTTTACAGAGATTTTGGTAAAATTTTTAAAATATGTTTAGGCAGACACATGCTTGAAATAGTGTTGTAGAATAATTGAGGATAGAAAATTTCCTCGGATACTAAACGAACACTGATGCATATATTCTTGTTTACAAATTCCGCCCAGAGAGAACTGGTTTCAATATGTACGCAGAGTATACGCAACCGCAATTAACTTTCCTTGCATTACATTCTTGCATTGATCATTTGTTTGTCAAAAACATGTCAAAAAAAATCATTTTTTTATCATTTAGTTGAAATCCAAGAGCAAAGAATTGTGAAGGAGTTGTTAATGGTTTTTGCATTGATATTTTTTTTTTTTTTAAATTAATATTTAGCTTACAACTTGTTTTCACAGACTGGCACTGGGTTTTCGAACATTCCTGGAAAATGTGAAAATGTCATCTTTATTATAAAAAATACTCGAAACAGGAATAAATGTTTTCAAAAGTAACTCTCGGATCATAAAAAAATTTAAAACAATTTTATAAAATATCAGTTGTATATGAATGCGTTGAAAAAAAAATCGAAGATTATACAGGGTGTCCCACGAAACATGACAATAGAAAGACGACTTGAAAGTCGTCTTTAATATTTGAATTTATTTGTGACATTTATTATTCTATCTACTTTAACATGTATGATTCTTGAAACAATTATCACATAATTCTCCTAGCCCTGGCATTTCCAAAAAGTGGTCTGCGTTTTTTGTGCTTTCAATATTACCGGAGATATAAAGAGTTTGGTTCAGATTTCAATTTTGTAAAATAAAAGCAAAATTGTCGAAATCTGAACGAAATTCTTTATATGTCGGGCAATATTGAAAGCACAAAAAAGGCAGACCACATTTTGGAAATGGCAGGACTAGGGGAATTTTTGTGATTATTATCTCTAGAAATTTACTTCTAAAATTAGGTTGACAAATAAACACAGCAAATTATATCAAAAATCAAGACGACATTCAAGTCCTCTTGCATACTGTCATGTTTCGTGGGACACCCTGTAGGTTCCAAGTGATTTGTTTGGAATTAAATTGATTTGTTTACGATCCGAGTCGAACATTGCAATGTTCTGAACTTGTATACATGGATGCTGCGTTCTTCAGTATGAGTCGTTTTAAACAATTTTCTCCTTATGGCTAGACGCAAATGCAATCATCATCGAATATTTTCGACGTAATCCTTTAAACTCCTTTTTTTGCGAACATTTCCTTTAAAATTAAGATTTTTACCCATAGAAGCACCACTCCTTTTGCGCAAAATTACGCATCATCCAGAACAAGTTTTACGTTTGTGCACAACTATTTTTGCGCAAAGCATGAATTAATGCAAAAATATCTATATCAAAGTGATAGTTATATTTTAAAATGTACAATGGTGTTTTCTGTTTACATGTGTTTACAGTATAAAGTACTTTGTATAAAGAATACAGGGATACATGGATACAGTGACATCGGGGAAGCCAGGATACCATGATACAAGGATCAAACATACCGCCATTTCAACTCTATTCAACAAAATCTACAATTGCCTGAACAAATTCAAAAAATGTTAAATAAACATAAAATCAATAACATCCTTGGACTCTCACACCCCTTTATACAAATCGGTCAACCCCAACCTCTCTCCCTCCCCCTTAAAATTTCTAATTCTCATATCTTCTCATAATAATCGCATTAATCTCTAATTTTATATACTTTCCCGTTTTTCCTTCTGTACTCATTATATGTATGTTGCAGTACAACTTGCTCTCGCTGCCTAAAATTCGGATCTGTACTTCAAATAAACCTGAGTTTACAGTGGTGTAACCTTTGATATATAAAATCAACAGACTCTGCTAGATAAATTAATCAAAGTTTGAAAGATCTGAGGTTGAAGGGGACTGTAAGCCTAATTTCAAATGACCCTTCATGCAAAGATGGCAGTGCTAGGTTTACAATTGAAAGCTTTGTTTGGTAAAGTTTGGATTATGTAGACATTAATGTTTTTGTTTCTTTAAACTGTTTATTTTCATTTGCTGGTTATCTGTGAAAGAAACTTGCATATTTTTTGTTTGCATGAAGCCACGGAGAAATTATAACTTTTCGAGTCAGAAAACGACGGTATTATTATCCACATTTTTGATCAGATTAAGGTGTCTGAAGGATACCTTTGTAAATCGGACATTACCATCTTTGCATGGAGAGTCATTTATAAATTTACACAGACAGTCTCTTTAAAGTTTTATCATATCATCATAGATCTTAGAGAGTTAATTTTGATGATCCATTTCCATTTCTACAAACCATTTATTTATTTTGTGGGCCGGACACCCTGTATTCCAGTTTTCAAATTAACTGATTTTCTTAAACTTTTACAAAACGAATACAAAGTAATTTTATAAACATGAGAATTGTAGAAAGTCTGTAAATTATGTTGCTGAACAGAAAATCAACTTATAAAGTAAAATAGGCAACGAGAATAGAATATATATTAGAGTGGAATTTAGAAATCCTTCGGTATGAAGGGAGTTCAAAGTGTACAAATCATGTAAATGTTCACAAATTATATGCAGTAGAGTACATTAATACAGTATGTTCCCTAGACTATCCATTTCAATTTCGAATTTTTAAAGCTGTTAAATAAACTGTTTAAAATGAATGAAGTGAATAAAAAACATCATTTGATAACGGAAAATCATCGTTTGTAAAGTGAAAGGCATAGAGTCTATGTGAAATGATCATTGGTCAATTATGAAACCAGCCTATTTCATAATTTGGTTTTCTTTAAATATTAATTCTAGATTTTTTATAAAATGATGTTCCAGGGCCCAAAGTTTATATAGCACAAATATGTGAAGTACACGTGCAGTATGGAAACAGAACAACAAAATAGCCGTTTTACACTTTTTTCTAGTAAATTCCACTCTAATATATATTCTATTATCTTTGAAAATAGGTGTGAGTGTACACTGCACAACACAATTGCTGTGTTTAAGTTCACTGGGCTATATAAAATCATATTTCCAAGGAAATACATATTTCTTAATATTTCCTACAACGAGAACCAGAAAACTGTGGAATAGGAAGACCTAGTGGCTTATCAAATCACTTATTAAGTGACATGGGTCTGTTTACATAGTAAAATTATCGTGTCTTATGTTCAATGGAGTTTCTAAAGTCAAAACTTGATTCTAAAAGTCATTTTTCTATTCCAGAGTTTTATGTTTCTCATTTTATAAAAAGGCATTTTTTATAAATCCCACTGTTTATTCTAAAAATCTTAATATCAATATAAATTATGTAGCAAATACCGTGTAAATATTATATTCTGTAAACCTGCAATACGTTGTATATTATTAACAATCTATGTTTGTAAACTTATACGTAAAAACATTATTCATTCAAACTGCGTTTCAATGGAATACGTAGCATTATTAGATTAAATCATGGGATATATAATGACGTGCATCTTAATTGCGCAGATTTCAATTCTGCTGTAATACATAACATGATAGCCTTAATCATGTGATATAGATAGTGACGTAGGAATTATTATTACGTGTATTAACTTTAACTTGTAACATATAAACCGAAAATACACTAGTTGATAGAGTAACCCCGTACTGTTGACTACGAGCAATAAGAAATATCTTGTTGGATTGATACGCTTGTATCCCTGTGTGGGATTTAGGGCATAAATTAATAGCTTGTTGGATAGCTACACTTGTGTCCCTGTGTGGCATTTAAAGCCTGGATTTATAGCTTTGTTTAATAGCTACCGAGATCGCGCCCAGTGGTAGTGGCGTAGATAGTTCGTGGAATTGTAACTGTGTGAATCTGTCCTGGTTGACTTTGATAGCAGACGGGTTGAACCTGGAAAGATACGTTTTGAACACTTGTTATGGAGTAGGAGTTTACTACAATCAAACAAGCATTATTTTAGAAATTATGCCTATTGCATATAAATTCATTATATTATAATATATATTTAAGTTTGGTACAAAATGAGTAAAAAAACGTACGTGTTATATTATCTTATTCAGTAAACCATGTAAAATATAAATTCATGAGTTCGGTTTTGAAGTTTCATACTAGAGGTGAAAATGTGAATTGATTATCTACAAGTTACTTCTGTTCGAAGAAATAAGCCATGAGTTATTTAACTGATTCCTCCCCCCTTCCCCGTCATGGAAAAAATTTTCTTTTCCAAAAAATCAGTAAATTTTTTTTGTGTTTTGTCTAAATACATATTTTGTATTCTTCAAAGTTTAGGAATATGGTCAAAACATCCAGATCACTTATGTGATGTAAATTTAGGGATCAATTATATCATTTTATAAATTCAGATTTTTATTGCTCTTACACTGGTTCTAATAATGATTAGTATGACAAACATTGGTTACAACTGCCTTCTTGGTAGTATTAATGGAGGTCTAGGGTATAGGGAGAAGGGTGGCAGAAGAGCGCAGAGCGGAGACAGCGGAAAGGAGTGTTCCAAGGTTCTATCGTGAGTCTTCACATGTTTCTTCAAATGATCCTTCCGTCCAAACTGTTTCCTACAGCCCGGAGCTGGGCAGAGGAAAGGTTTTACTCCGGAGTGGATTCTTCTGTGTCTTGTCAATTCCTCATTTCTAGTGAAACTTTTCTCGCATCCGGCAAAATCACAGGAAAACGGTCTTTCTCCTAGACAAAGTCAAGTATTTAGCACAATCCATTAAACTGTAGATGGGTGGACTACTAGTAGACTCATGTTATGATATTAGATAGTCCAATCCATTAAACTGTAGATGGGTGGACTACTAGTAGAATCATGTTATGATATTAGATAGTCCAATCCATTAAACTGTAGAATGGGTGGAATACTAGTAGAATCATGTTATGATATTAGATAATCCAATCCATTAAACTGTAGAATGGGTGGACTACTAGTAGAATCCTGTTATGATATTAGATAATCCAATGAACATGAAACATATCAATTTTGTAATTTCACTTAATAACGTAAAAAAACAGAAAATACACCAAAAATTATTTAAATGTCGGCTTCTTTGGGTTTTAAAGTCATGAATGTTGCAATAAAATATAGGAATTGAGGAAAATCGAAAAAGAAGGATAAAGTTTAAAATTATAAAAATATTTTTTTTAAACAATTAAGTTTGGATTAAACAAAATGTCAGTGAAAGGAAGAGGGAATCATAAAATTGAAACAATTTATTCATGGAAGTGGAATAGAATGCAATGCCAATTAATAATTAATAATTGCAAATTTACAAAATTAGGGAATTCCAAAGGCTTTCAAATTTTTTAACTTGCAATAGAATAATTTAATAAATTAAAACTTTTTTTTAGAAATGCTTGAATTATCTGAATCTACTATTTTTCGAAGCTCAGCTTTTATGGACAGTTTAAAAAGTATAAAATAAAAGCTACAGGGAGATACAGAAGAAGTAAAATCGGCAGAACTATATTTCGCCAACAGTTTTCTTGTTCTCCCTGGAGAATGTTATATAACCAGGGGGCGGGCATAACTCTCCTAATTTTGCCTGGCTAGGTTTATACTGTACAGTGAAATTTGTCGAAAAATGTTTCCTTATGACTGAGTTGGTTAATTTCTGATCGGGTCATTGTGTACAGTGGCTGTACAACAAGAAGTCTAAAATTCCAGATGCCCCCTCTATTACTAATATCTCGATGTATATAACCAACCTGTGTGAATTCTAATGTGTCCTCTCAGTTGACCATTATTACTAAACCCTGCCCCGCAAACATCACATTTAAACTTCTTAGGTCTCACTTTACGTTCCAAGTTAAAGGCACTCTGCCAGTCCAGGTCTAGGCTTGGATCCAGGCAGCCAGGTCTAGGAAACCTACTGCCTGAATATTGTAGAAATTCAGACATTCCAGGCAATAATGGCCTGCAAAAAAAAATGTCAAACTAAAAAAATGGTAAAACTACAATGTAATGTACGACGTAATTTAAGCGTAAATTTTAACCAAATTATTTTATAGTTCACGACACTTCATTTGTTGCATAAAACGTGCATGGTCGACTTTACATTGGGTAATTCAGACTGGACGGTACGACTGAACGTATTTACAGTTCATGTTTAAGAATTAATTAATTAAATTCGACATAAGTTACAATATAATCTTCATGAAAATGGTGGAAAAATAAACCAACTGTTGTACAGTGAGCCATATAAAAGTGTTGAATTGGACGACGACTCTTAGATTCAAATTGTGATTTTAAACAGTGTAATGATGAAACATCGTAATTGTGCAGTGTAAGCTTAATAAGTTGAATTTCTAAAACTATTTGCTATATATTATCTTCTGTTGCACATAAGATTGCGTTATGTCGTCTTCCTTTTCCACAGCTTTATGGGTCACACTGTAAGTTATTTGTTAATATAAATAGTAGTTCATAGATGTCAAATTCAGTTAATAGTGGGATTGAAACGGATTAACTTTGAATACATGACGATGTTTACAGTCCAATAAACATTTAGGCACACAAATTGTGAAGTGTGACCAGACCAATTTAACTTAATAAGTGATTTAATAAGTTATGCATACAATTTTATGTTTTTATCAAAATCAAATGCATTAAAGAATTTCATAATGTCGTCTTCCTATTACACAGTTTTCTGGTTCTCACTGTAGAGTAACATTATGTTTTTCTCGATAAATTTAAATCTTGAAAAAACTCTTATCATTTCAAAATTTTATAAATGAGATTTCGGTTAATTAGTTTACAAAGATGAAAAAATACTTTAAGAAAAATGATGTTATTTTCCCGTGCTCAAGGGTGTAAAGAATTAGAAAGAAAAATGTAATTTTGATAATGAAAAAATAATCCATAACTTTTTCCTGTATAGGAAACAAACATGTTTCATAACGAATCCGAAACTTTCCGAATTGGAAATGGAAAGAAATTCGGATAATATCCGTAATACGTTAACTTTAAACCGGAATCTCTGAGGAAACCTTTGAGCCCGGACTAACCAGGGCGAGATGCATTAGGTTTCTTCTATTTAAAATCAATCACGTGTTCGGTGTTGGTCTATAATTAAACAATCTTTATACTTGTTTTCATTCTTTTTCGTTTAAAACTACTCTTGTATGCCGAGTCCATTAGGGCTTGATCCAATCAGGGTTCAGTCATGTGTTTGTTGTCTATTCTGAACCAATAGAAATAGTATGGCGGTAACATCTATCTTTCTATCTATATCATTTTCCTATCAGAGTTATGAATCCTTCAATCGGCGCTATAAATAAATGGAAATATTTACTTCTACTGAAACTATAGTGATACGTTAACTTTAAACCGGAATCTCTGAGGAAACCTTTGAGCCCGGACTAACCAGGGCGAGATGCATTAGGTTTCTTCTATTTAAAATCAATCACGTGTTGGTCTATAATTAAACAATCTTTAAACTTGTTTTTATACTTTTTCGTTTAAAACGCATATGCCAACAAAACAGTGTAAAAGAGAAATGACGAATCATGTTAAATATAGCTGAACTAAAACAGTGAAAGTCACAGTTTTCCGGAATATACAGACCATACTTTCTTAACTAAAGTCCTGATATAACAAACTGACCTATTCTGAAGGTGTATTCCTCTGTATGCTATGGATAAACTGTCCAGTTGTCGGAGACGTAGTTCGTTTATTTCTCCTGTGCTCAACCCAGAACCCGGAGCTGGATTCATACCACCATCCGGAGCCGAACCCTGACTATAAACATCTTTAATTTCGGTCTTTGGGACGAGTAGACCATCGATTGAAGATGATTCGTCTAAACTGTCCTTGGGCTCGTCTTTTATTTTTGATATTTCAACATCGTGACATCTTTCCTTCTCGTCGTCCCATGGACGAAATACAGACTTTGAACTATTTTTCCCTGAAACAAAAAGTTTACTTTATTTAAACAATTCACCACAATACTTTTTGAACCTTTATCTGATTAACAATGTGGAATATATTGCCGTTTTTTTCTAAATAAATGTTAAATTCTGTTAGTTTCCTTCATTATCTGAGAAGCATAAATGCTCCAGTCACTTTTCAAACAAGACCACCGTTGTGAATCAGATATGCCACTTTAAGAATGGAGGGTCACTTAAAATTACAAAATTATGGTTTTCCCCCTTTAAGTTAATATTTATATAAAAACTTTAATAAAAAAAAATTAAATCACCTTCGCTCATCTCTCTAATTTCCGATTCACTTAGTTTTTTCTTCAAATAAACATCAAAAATGTGTGTTTTCGGTGAAAACTGGCTAGTTTAGAGTTTGAAAATAATGTTGTCTGTGTAATCTGATCTAGTTGACTACCAATTTGTCACTGATCCCCCACACTGTGGGGTGTGAGAGAGGGTAAATACGTTACTCCTATTGGTCAGCATCATTTAGCCCCAACCAATGGGAGGTCTAAGCTCCCACCCGGCGGACAAATATAGCGGTGGTTGGATGGGCGGGTTACAAACCTTTCAATATTTTTAACCTATTTTAAGCTTTTTTTCGTCTTTTTAAAGTATCTTTCATTTTTAATCCAATTTTAACGAATTTATACCTATATTAAACCGTATTTTTATTATTTTTCAATTTAGATAATTTCCCCCCCACAAATTGGTTTCCATAATCATGTTTAACGTTTTTTTTCATCAAATACGTTTTTTTCAAGTTTTTAACTTTAAAAATTATAAATTTTTAAAGAAAAGAAATTGAACCTTCGCCACAATCTAACATTTTCTAATTGCTTTATCTGTGCTTTTGATATTTCAAACTTAACCCTATCACGGTCGGGAAGGGGGTGGGTGTTCCCCGCCCATAAAAGTTTTGAGCAAATTTTTAAATTTTTGGATGCACAGACAGTCAAACGGTGGGTCGGCGTTGATAAAAAATCAGAAATGCCTAGTAGCATTTTTTATTAATTAAGATACAGTTCAATTAGCATTTATTACAATCCAACAAAATTCTTAGATCATTGAATTGCAAAGACATGGGGATAAGAAAATCAGAGTTTGTGGCAAATACTCATTTTTTATTTTATTTTCAAAATCCCATTCAATGCTTAAAAAGTAATTACAATTTTTACAACTTTATTTTTTTTCTCACACTTTTTCAATATATTTTAACTTTAACTCATGTTAACCCTTTTAAACTTCATTTTAATCCCTTTTTAAATGTATTCACTCCCTTTTTCAACTTTATTCAACTCCCTTTCTTCTTTATTTAACCCTCTTTCTTCTTTATTTAACCCTCTTTCTTCTTTATTCAACCCCCTTTCTTCTTTGTTTAACCCTCTTTCTTCTTTATTTAACCCCCTTTCTTCTTTATTTAACCCTCTTTCTTCTTTATTTAACCCCCTTTCTTCTTTATTTAACCCTCTTTCTTCTTTAGTCAACCCCCTTTCTGCTTTGTTTAACCCTCTTTCTTCTTTATTTAACCCCCTTTCTTCTTTATTTAACCCCCTTTCTTCTTTATTTAACCCTCTTTCTTCTTTATTTAACCCTCTTTCAAATTTATTTAATCTCTTTTCAACTTTATTTAATCCATTTTAAACTTTATTCAATCCCCTTCCTGCTTTATTTATTTTCATTTCAAATTTACTTAATGCCTTTTCAACTTTATTTAACCCATTTTAAACTTTATTCTTTTCCTTTTTAACTTTATTCAATTCCTTTTTAACTTTATTTAATCCCCTTTCAACTTTATTCTTTTCCTTTTTAACTTCATTCGAGCAATCTCTTTTAAATTTATTCAAGTTATTTTCATCTTAATGAAATCCCTTTTCAACTTTAATTCAAGTCCATTTAATATTTTTTAATCCCTTGTAAAATTTATTTAATCTCTTTTCAACATTATTCAATCCCTAATCAACCTTATTCAATCACTTTTCAACTTTATTCAATTTCTTTTCAACTTTGTTCATCCCTTTTATCTTTATTTAATCCCTTTCAAATTAATCTATCCTTTTTCATCTTTATCCAATACCTTCCCAACTTTATTCAATCCCTTTTCCTCTTTATTCAATCCCTTTTCCTCTTTAAACAATCCCTTTTCCTCTTAATTCAATCCCTTTTCCTCTTTAAACAATCCCTTTTCCTCTTTATTCAATCCCTTTTCCTCTTTATTCAATCCCTTTTTCTCTATATTCAATCCCGTTTCCTCTTTATTAAATCGATTTTCCTCTTTATTCAATCCCTTTTCCTCTTTATCCAATCCATTTTACTCTTTATTAAATCCCTTTTCCTCTTTATTAAATCAATTTTCCTCTTTATTTAATCCCTTATCCTCTATATTCAATCCCTTTTCCTCTTTATTCAATCCCTTTTCCTATTTATTTAATCCCTTTTCCTCATTATTAAATCCATTTTCTTCTTTATTCAATCCCGTTTCTGATAATTTTTAATCCTTCTTTAATCTTTTTCTTATCATTTTTGTTTTGATTTTTTAATTATTTTTAATCTATTTAAAATTCAAATTTCTTCAATTTAGCTTTAAACTTTAATTTAAGTCAGTTTCGAATCAATTCAAATCATTATCCTTAGATTGAATAATATTTTTAAGTCATATACAAACTCCTGAAATACAAACTCCTGAAATATATAAACTCCTGAAATACAAACTCTTGACATACAAACTCCTGAAATACAAACTCCTGAAATACAAACTCCTGAAATACAAACTCCTGAAATACAAACTCCTGAAATACAAACTCCTGAAATACAAACTCCTGAAATACAAACTCCTGAAATACAAACTCCTGAAATACAAACTCCTGAAATACAAACTCCTGAAATACAAACTCCTGAAATACAAACTCCTGAAATACAAACTCCTGAAATACAAACTCCTGAAATACAAACTCCTGAAATACAAACTCCTGAAATACAAACTCCTGAAATACAAACTCCTGAAATACAAACTCCTGAAATACAAACTCCTGAAATACAAACTCCTGAAATACAAACTCCTGAAATACAAACTCCTGAAATACAAACTCCTGAAATACAAACTCCTGAAATACAAACTCCTGAAATACAAACTCCTGAAATACAAACTCCTGAAATACAAACTCCTGAAATACAAACTCCTGAAATACAAACTCCTGAAATACAAACTCCTGAAATACAAACTCCTGAAATACAAACTCCTGAAATACAAACTCCTGAAATACAAACTCCTGAAATACAAACTCCTGAAATACAAACTCCTGAAATACAAACTCCTGAAATACAAACTCCTGAAATACAAACTCCTGAAATACAAACTCCTGAAATACAAACTCCTGAAATACAAACTCCTGAAATACAAACTCCTGAAATACAAACTCCTGAAATACAAACTCCTGANTCACCAACAAACTGATCTCCGGGCAGAATTCAATCTGAAAATGTTCTGGATACAACAAAAATAAACTTTTCTAATAAGTTGTTCCAATCTTCATTGAATTCTACCAGACCATGTTGAATTGATTTTTTTGTCTAAATGTGCAAAAAGATTATTTTTGTGTACATATACTTGATTTGTACCATAGATTAATTAAAATAACAGATAGGACATGCACTATATTGTACATATATACATACATGATTTGTACCATAGATTAATTAAAACAACAGATAGGGCATGCACTATATTATATATATGTATATATATATATATACATGTAGGGTTATTAATCATTTTTGAAAACGATCGTTAAACGATGGTTTTTTGCTTCGTTTTTCAATTATTTTCAAAAACGATCGTTTCATTTTCGGAAAAAAACAATCGTTTTTAAAAACGACCCACTCGTTTTGAACGAATACAAATAACGATCGTTTTTAAAAACGATCGTTTTTATAAAACGATTTGCGATGTTAACGATCTTTAACGAAGGGTTGTCGTTAACGATCGTTAACAAAGGGTTGTCGTTAAAGATCGTTAACGAAACGACTAACTTTATAAAAACAGTCGTTTTTGGAAAAACGATCGTTTTTGAAAAAAATGACATGCAACTTTATTGAAGTTAAACAGTTGTGGGGATCTAAAACTTCTTGATATTTTCTTAAAAACTACTCAATAATAAGTACAGATGCCCTTCAGGTCGGTTCCCTCTCTTTGTTAACGATCGTGAACGAAAGATCGTCATTAACGATCGTTAACGAAACGACAAGTTTTATGAAAACATTCGTTTTCAAAACGATCGTTATGAAAAATGATCGTTTTTAAAAACAATCGATTTCAAAACGATCGTTTTAAAAACGACCATTTCAAAAAGCGAAGTTTTAAAAAAAATATCGTTTTTTTAAAAACAATCGTTTCGTTTTCATAACGTAACGATCTTTTCTTTAAAAAATGAAAACGTTAACATCCCTACATGAATTCCGTGCAATCGTCTCTGAAGTCTCATCCTTTGTGGGTAACCTTGTAGATTCACAATGTAATTTTTCAATAAAAGGATTCTTGATACATGACGCACGACTCAGCCTTTTTTCTGGCGACCCCACACGCCAATCTAAATATAAGGAAGATATCAAATTTGGTTGAATGATGGTAGCTTAATAACTTGTGTACTTATCGACAGCTCTTCAAAAAATTAGCTTAATTTGTGGAATAGCGTACCTAAACTCTTTGTTTGCTAGCTATTTATAAAATATTAAAACTCAATCTCAGACGCATGGAAGAAAATAATCATCTTCTTTTAAGTTTTTTAATACCACTTTTAGCGTAAAAAATTAAGTACAAGTGATAAATAAGCTGTTTTGAGATCAAACTGCACGCAGCGTACAACAGGTTTAACAGAAATTCAAACGGTTTCCAATAGATTTACAGATACAGATCTCTGTACTCGCAGACTGGACACAGGCTTAAAGAGTACGGTTGTAAATCGGGCATTGCCCTCTTTGCAGCCCTCTTTACAATAGCCCAGAACCCCCCCCCCTCTCTACTGATTTACATCATAGTTCTGCCGCCCCTGGTGGTTTCTACTACGTTGAATAAATTGATTATTTCCCGAGGTTTAGAGGGGGAACATTTAAACACTAATAGATAAATAACTCAAACTAATCCAGAGAATCTACATCAGATCAAAAAGTAAAAGTCATTTGTAAATCAGAAATATTATTTGCGAGGCTTTCATGACACTTTGCGACACTTTGCGACCATCTTTTATTTCAACTTTTAAAAGTACGGTTTAATATCTTTAAGCATCTTCTCTGTGTACAATATTTAAAAAATATAAAAAAAATTACGAAGACAAATTTTTGTTATCCATAAACGTTTCCTGGGGTCATGTGAGGTCCCATGCACACGATTTGGGGCCCGATCTAATTAAGTCGATTTGACGTTTATTGCAGATACAAACAGACAAACAAACATTTCGCGCAAAATTGTACTTTCTACTTTTGCAACTCTGATTTGCGCATTTTCACTTCTTCCGTAA